CCCCCCCCCCCCACCACCACCAAATCTTCCCCCTTTCACGAACGACGAAGGGCCAGCCTCGGCGCCACACCCCGCGCCGTTACTTTCACTCTCAACCCGACGGCCCCCGCCCCAACCCACCGTAGCCTTATTTCTCATGAACGCTACGATTGTGCACACCTCAAGAGCTGGGCTTAGCTGCCGGGGGCCCGTGTCGTGAAACTATCGCAAGCGCGGACTCGCTCGTATTTCCTCCGGCTAGTTTGCCGACACCAGGTCTCGCTTTAAGAAATGAGGGGGCGATCGCCCACACAAACGTTTCGAAAAATGTCGAAAACACACCACTAACGACCAGCCGCCGGAGGCTCGTCCGCCCTCATGCGCTGGGTTTTGCGACGCTCGACGATGCTGTACTATGCGTTCTTTGCGGTGGGCTTCTTTGTGTAGCTGTTGACGTAGAACTGGGCGAACAGGAAGAGCAGGGAAAGGATGTACCCCGCATACACGACCACGATGCGGGGAGGGTAGCTCGTGCACCTGTTGAGCACCCCACGACAAGAAGGGCAACCAACGCATGAAAGGGTTGGTTATATGGCGGACTTTGGTCTCAGGAACAAGCCAGCGAGAAGTGAATCTACATGAATTCATATTGCATACAGAAAATTACAGTGGGTCCTGCCAGCCCAACTTCCAAAGGGCTTGCAGAATAACATAGAAGCTAGATACAACGACGTACGAGCTTGTCATGTACTACGTTGTTTTGGTGAAGCCAAACATACGTCAGTGCTATGCCGCAAAAAATGGTGCAAAGCTACCATCAGGAATCAAACACGCCCCCGAAAAAAAACGAAACATGAACGGTTGTCGGGCTAATGTAGTCACAACCATAGGTGATGGAGAGGCGTTCCCTTTGATGCACTGCAGAGGTCAGAGGTCTGCAAAAAATACTTGGTTTCTCGAAAACACCAGCGCAGACGCCAACTCACCCGGTAGACAAGAGGTACAGGGCCTGGGTTGTCATGCACACGAACTGGATCATCTGCGTGACGAAAACATCAAGGCAAGGAATGTGTTAGCACGATCGATTGGGGCACCAACCAGCACTCTAATCTGCCGACCGAAGCTACGGCTGCGTTCGGGCAAAAAGAAAGCCTCGATGATCAACGCGGAAATCGGCCTCCGTCCCGTTCGTCTACATGATGCATGCAGGCGACGCCTCAGTCGCTCTCCCTCCGCACGCACAACCAGAGACGAAATACATCGCTACAATATCTTACGATGTGTCCAACTTGTATGCTTTCATATCCCAAGAAAGGTTCCCGAAAATATTATGCTGGTACCTGGCGCTGATGAACTCATGCTTCTTGTGCAAGTGAGTTCGTGGCATCCCAATAAATCCATGGGAACAACCAACACCAAAGGATCAAGGCGTACCTGCATGAGCGTCAGGTACTTCTTCCACCAGATATCCTTCGTGTGCATGCTAACGAAGTAGTAGGTGTACATGACGGTGTGGATGAAGCCATTGAGGACGATGGTTAGGTACACGTCGCCGTCGTACCCGGCGTTGACGTTTAGCCAGTAGAACTGGTTTCAATACGCGAAAGACGGGACGACTGGTGTCGGAAACACAATGTCATGCAATTCGAAATGGAGGGGGGAAAGTGCACAAGGAAACGGGAAAGCGCGAACGGAGCTACGGCGGATCACCAACAGGGCAACGACAAAAGAGGATAATTTACACATAATTTTCCTACGCTGCTCTTCTGCCTACACAAAAAACATCCTACCGAATACCCTCCTTTGATCACAATTTCAACCGGTACACCCCCTTGCGGCGAATCATCGACCACTTGTACCCCTGGTTTGCCACGCCTTATTCCTGCGTTGGCATGATTTCAGGGGTTCTCGACCCCATCAGTCACCAGTACGCCGAGAAAGTCTCACAGAAACTCGGCCACAAGAGTAAAAACGCCAATTCCTCAAACCATGCGAGTACAGCAGTTCAGTAGCTCTGTCCACTCACCAGGAAGATGGTGCAGTGGTGGTAGACGTGCAGGAAAGAAAGCTGCCTCCACGACTTCTTCAAGACGATGAAAATGGTATCCATGAAGTCAAGGACCTGTTGGGTAACACGTATGCATAGATACAACAATTCAAGACCGCGGAAGAGAACAAAGGTACATGCAGGTGCAACAAACGGACCGGTTTATGCGAGTCAAAATTCCACAAGAACATGAGAGCAAGTGGAACCGGCGGCAATGAATCGACGAGCGGTGTTGTAGTAACTGACCAACTGCGGAAGCATCCCCGCCCAAGGAGCAGTTACGCTAGCGTACAAACTCTTGCCTTGCTGGTGTGTCTACTGGACCGTAGCATGCAGACGTGGCCAACATGCATATTTGGGAAAGACGGTAGTCAACAGCAGTCACTGGGGCACAGCCAGCGATTCGAGGATTCGCTACACTCCTGCTGTAAATGATAGCAGTGGGCGGGCAGTAAGTACAACGCCAAAACATGTTTCGACGGGCGCTCTTTTGGTCGTCCACACCCTACGCTCGATACACACACACCTTAGAGACGTAAAAAAGCCAAAGCAAGTTGGCCGCGGGGGGGTTCTCGGCGTCGAAGGGGGCGCAAGGGAGGACAGGGTATCCGTTGCGGTACGCAATCATGAAGGCCTCGACGCACATGTACGAGCACAGGATAATCTGCACAGGGTAGAGTGGGGTGCGGAGGTACAAGAGCGTGGAGCGTTTGGCGAGTGAAACAGCACCTCAACCATGGAAAAACGTGTCTTTTCCAAGCACCGGGGGAAAGGGGTAATCCTTCTTTTTCCCCTCGTGTTCAACCAGAAAAAAAAATCAACAGATATATCTGCAGCCTCATGCCGTGCGTCTGCTATCTATTGCGGGAAGACAAACGGGTACATCAAAATTCGTGTACGATCTGAGTTTGGTCTTCCGCGTGTGTGCGGGATGAGCGAGAGCAAATGTCGCAGCAAGTAGTGCAAAATTCACGGTCGTGAATCGAAATCACTACTGTGTTGCGAGCATGGATGTGACTATACCACCAAACTGGTGAGCACAAATCTCGGGGTGAGCCAGATTCCTTGTTGTGGTACCAAGAAGCTGCGGCGACGAGGGTATGTTCGACACTCGGAAAATTCGTTCGATTCGCGTATGTATTGCACGCGTACTACTGTAAGTGCTCGCTGATGACTTGGTGTCTTACACGAGACCAGGTACCGACAGCATAGACAGTAGTCGGTCTGGAGAAAGAAGAAGCAAACTACACATGCGCGCCTCCGCGTTGACAGCAGTTGATGACAAACCTGTACGACGTTGTAGACGAACCGGACAGGGTAGCTGTCGATAGGGCTCATGTCGGCCATGACCTTGGGACCGACCGTCACCATGACGAGATACGCCCCCACGATAGCCAGCGCGGTAGCGAAGTCTGTAAGGAACCACCCCTGCAGGTTTCAGGTGATGAAAAGGCGATATGACGTCATGATCGCAAGAAGCATGCAACAAAAGAACAAAGTGTGCCGCGAAAGATCGTTACACATTCGCAGCAACTGCCGTAGCTGTCAAATACTGCTGTACACTGTACACCCTACACTTGCGCGTATGACGTGTTTGTCTGTTTATGATCTAGCAGGCATCTTACACATGCCAGGCGGGATCGCGTCGGCTACCATGACACATGAAAGCATCAATGGGGAGAAACGTAACTACTGCTGTATATTTTATTTTTTGTCAGACAGCAGCATGCATACAATTGGATATACATATGCATGGCATACGGACCGTGCCGGCGATTATCATGCATGCATCCTGGATAACGTGATGTATTCCACTTCCACGGCAATGCAGATATCAAGAAGTGTCACCCTCATGTGCGTAGGCTCTAGGGCAAACAAAATAACAAGAGCCTGTTACCCACAGGGGAGATGTCCCTATATGCTGTCTGGGAAATCGTAGACACACAGGTAGTTTTCTCTGACGCTATGATTCCATTGTTAATCTGTCTCTGACTCTTTTCTATGATAGAGATGGACTCGTTGTGTCATATTAAGAAAAAATAAATAAAAAATAATAATAATAATAATAATAATGTGCTGTTGACACAACTGCTGTACAGGTATTGCGGGGTTTGTGGACAGGAACAGGATTATTATACTTCCTGGTGAAGGGTACAGCAGTGCGGCACGGCTCGCACCTTTGTTGCGTCGGAAGTTTGCCCATTCCGAGCCCAATTAAGCACGGCGTCCCCGACACCGTTGGCCACCTCCTTGTAGGTCTCCATTGCAGAGATCTGGGGAGAGCATCGGGCGGGGTAAGTCGGGAGCTACAGCAGTAGTAGATTGATAACGCCGAAACTGCTGTTCGCCTGTGGGCACTGCAAGACGGTGGATTGGCTGGCACGTTGTTTGTTCTTTCATGTCAAAAAGTGTTCGTGGGCTGGTGCAGATGACACCAAGACCGATCTCAGCCATGAAATCTCCTTGGTGTCACAGCGAATATTTCGACGAAAGAGACTCTGAAGATAAGGTGGAGAAGCGCAAGTACAAAATGGGTGCTGCTGCTCCATCGAGCATCACACACGCCCGCACAGAAACCGAACAAGAATGCATAAAGCGCGCTCTTTCCCTCCTCTTCCCAGAGATCGTTTTGGCGAAGATGCCTGTGCGACACTCTCCATCACACGTTGCTTCCCACGATCTAGGCAACGGTATCCTTTCTACTTGGAACAAGTGTCAAACCTTCGTCAATCACCCTGGCCTCGATGGTATCGCGCGCCGTGTGTTTGCAGGTTGTAGCGCGAGGCCGGCCTCACCCTGTTTGGGTTGTTCGCCACGTACGACGCGGTGCAATTGTCCCAAGTGCCAACCAATCACCGATCTCGAATCTATCTGATAAAAAAAAACATCCCGCGAACCCGGGTGACGGTGACGACGCGCGACGCGTCACCCTCGGACGGACCGACCCGCTGAGAGATGAACTAAACAATTACCATTTATGTATATATTTACATGCATGCATACCCTTCCCCATGAGGCCTGTTCTGGTGAATACTACTGTACTGCTGTAGTGGCTCTTCGATGTTTTCTCTACGTTGTTGTTGTTGTTGTTTCTCACATTAGCTCTAAAAAGAAGATTGGGAGCCCGTGGTCTCAAAACCCGGCATACACGACCCCACGAAGAAACAGAAAAAAATAGGGTACAAAAACCACTCGGAAGAGAAACAAAATGATAGAAAGAAAGACCAGCTACCGCACCAAACGAGAAAGAGCGTCGAGGAGACCGATCAAAATAAAATAAAAGGAGAACGGGGAACGCTTCCCACACCTGCCTCCTACGTATAGTCTATGTACATAGTCTAGATAGTCTGGTCTTTAATCCCCAGAGAGGGAAGAGAGAGTAGTCTAGAGAAAGAAAGAGCGACGAGAAACAACGAACAGGTCGGTACACATCTTGTAGCATCGTTGCTCCCCAGTCGGTCATAACGAAGTCACTTTGCCATCTTCCTGATGTTTGCACCAACACAGCAGCCTAGACAGAGAGAGGTCGTACTCCCTCAAACTTCCTGCAACTCTTTCTGTCACGTGTTCGTTCCGCCTTCAAAATATCCCCATCGCTTTTATCTACGGTAGCTTCTGTTGTTTCACGGACGGACTTCCGTCTCGGGTTCGAGGGACTTCCCTCCTTATTAATTGGAAGCGTTTGCTTTTTCCCACGGATGATCGCATCGACAATTATAATATTGTGTCGGGCAGTTTGCGTTTTTCTTGCACTTTCGAGGTAAAAGCCGTGTATGGCACACAAATTTTGAGGGCAGAGGGTTGTTGGACGTAGACCGCAGACAGACATGCCTGGTCAACTTACAAGCGAGGAGGAAAAAATCGTGGCTCGGGGTTTTGTCCGAGAAGAGAAAGAATGGCCGTCCATTGCTGCTTGTCACGAGGGCGTCGTACTGCTGTAGGACTTTGTTGAGGGAAATACGGTCTACTCCAACTAGGCCAGACAACCGCCGTTCAACAGACTTGCGGGAAAAATGGGAACGTACCCAAAAATGAGAATGGGCGTTTGTTTTTAGAAAGCAAACCACGCCTTTGCAACTCCCCCCATAAAAGTTGACAGTGCTGTAGGTCTTTACAGCAGCTTTCGAATGAGCTGTTGCTCAAGCTGTATGTCCTCGGCATCGACGAGGTAGCCAGCATCGCGAGAAATCAGGTCGAAACCAGCACGAATCGCTTTTTGCGCCCGTGAGAAGGCGTGATGTGGAGCATGGCGGTTCTGATGAGCTCATCTCACAGCCCGGCGAAGGGGTTTCGCAGGATAATTTTGGTTCTGTGATACACCCGATGGTTCTGAAGAAAAACGCCAATTCTCATTTTTGGGTACGTTCCCATTTTTCCCGCAAGTCTGTTGTTCGTTGTTAGTTGTTTCGTCACATACATACACGGTAGCGACTATGAAAACTCGGAGAAAATCTGCACACCTTTGCAGCCCGCCCAGTGTCCCGGATCCATCAACAAGAAGTACGTACAACCCGTGCGCTACACCGACGGGAACTGTGAGGAGCTGTCCAGACGCGAACTGGAAAGACTTGCGAGATAGCCTAGGGGGGAGGGATTTCGAGCTAGCGTGATGGCTGGACGGGGGGGATGCGTGGCATTAGTGAGACCGTCTGCGGGTGATCATGGGTGTCCGTTCAAGGTTTGGTCGTATGTATGTACCATGGATGGTTTTTGACTATTGTTGATGTCTCTCTCTTGTCTCGGTTTTTAGACTGTGCATGTCCATTTGATTTCTGAGTACTGTTGACGAGAGTTTCTTTTGTTTCGGTTTTGATACATGTCCATTTGATTTTTGAGTGCGTCACCCAGTTGAGGTCGGGTAAAGCCTAACTGTTCAGAGACCCTACTTGCCAGATGTCCTGATCTGAGTTGCAGTCGAAAGGTGTTCCTGTGTGCGGTAGCACCCACGAGGGTATATGTTGCGTGCTAGTCTGATTTGCGGTCGAAGGGTGGTCCTATGCCCGGTAGCGCCGAAGAGAAGTTTGTGCGGTTGTGTCGTGGCGTTTGATTGGGTTTGGTGTTGTAGGTGCTTTGCGCAATGGGTTTTTTCCTGGGTGGCCAGGTTTTTCCCGCGCTGTAGGTGTTGAGAGCCGGACTGCAACTACAGTGAATTCACCAAGCGAGGGACGGTTTTTTGTTAGAGTATTTTACGTCCGAGCGTCACTTGGTGTTTTCGGTTGTTAAGTCTAAATTCTAGGGCTCTCGGGATGGGGAGCGAAGGGTTTGTCCCGGAAGCCGGGTTTTCCTTCGCGCAAGTCGATGTCGGGCCGTGGTTCAACGCGCAGTGAGAATTATGAAGAGGAGTGGATTTTATTTGGGTTTTGCCACACTTCACCTCTTGTAATTTTCGGTTGGACGTTCAGCCTACTCAAAGACATTGCATGGTAGTATTCCAAAAGGAAGTGTGTCACTTTGCGGTTTACACATTTCCTGCTACCGTTTATTAGCATGTGACAGCTGACAAATAGCTGTTCATGCTAAAGGGGGGATATTACGGTTACATGGTTACGGTTGATAGGAGTTGCACCTTTGGGAGAATGCGTTGTTCCCAACAGGTACTAGCAGTAAGGTCCGGTTTGCCGGGCCCCGTCTTGAGGCTAGGATTGCTCAGCCCCCCTGCTTCACTCTTCTCCTTGCTTGCCCTGAGTTAGCAATAATCAACAAGCGAATACCGTATCCACGACCGGAGACCTTCCACTCCTTGTCACAAGCCGCCTTCGAGGCTCACTTCTACCGCTGTTCCGACTCATCTACCGAACTCGGTACCGATCGAGAGGCAGCTATCATCAGGTCGGTAGCAGTGCTTGTAGTCTGGGGTCTCATGCACAATCCGCTGTGGACAATTCCTCTTGACACCTAGGGTCCTGTCACTTGAATGATTGGAGACCACACAGACCTACACAGACATTGGGCCAGCCCCTACCCCTAGCCTCTCCATCCGTTTTACATTACTTGTACGCATCCTTGGCACTATTCTATGTACCGTAGTCCCTTCGCCATCCCACAGCAGTTACTCCCCCGACGACAGTAACAGGGACATCCGACCTCTGTGTAACACCTCTCTCTTCCTCTTGCATCCGTTGCACTTATTGTTACCTGACGTATAGTAGTAGTGTCGTCTAGACTAGATAGAAGACTAGATCTAAGGAGCGGAGTCTGGTATCCAGGGGCTAAGCCCTTGTCATTGGTTGACCCGTCGGTTCTCAAGCCATGATCAGAGTTGGACATTAAGACGTTGAAGATGACGACACCGATCGTAGGCACACGTGGGTGTCAGGAAAATCGTGCGTCGAGACCACCAGTAGTCGGACACGGTTTGACCTTTGAATACGATTGCAGCAACTAGTCTGCGTAGCAGTAGAAAAGTATCCATCTCTCCTTGGCATGTATTCTCTTGTTCTAGAAATATTCCGGAAGCATGCTAGGTCAAGGTTGACCGGGACATCTATGTAGAACGTGTGTAGCTTCTGGAAGCCTTCTGGAAACTTCTGGTTCCTCCTGTAGCTTCTGAAAGCCTTTCTGGAAACTTCTGGTTCCTTCTGTAAGCTTCTGGAAGCGTTCTAGATCTAGGTTGCAGTTGATACTCTTCTAGAACGTAGGAGGGCTTCCAGAAATCATTCTGGAAGCATTCTGGATCTTTCGTGTGATTGGCTTATTTGTCCGGTATTCGAGAAGAGTGGTGCAGCCCTAAGCTCGCCCACTCCTCTCACTCCTCTTCAGTACCAGCAACATCTGACTCGGGAGTCAGCAACTAATAAAAGCATCTTCATATTTCCATTCCAAGTCTCTCGCGGTTGGAGACGCACAGAGTGTGAACCTCTGAGGTAGGCTACACAGCCTCCTGGCATCTGCAGCATCGTACTGCTGCTAGTGCACAGCGAAATATCGCTGACAGGTTATGAGCCTCGGCTAACGCACACACTACGAGCTGCGAACATCACGGGAAGATCAAGGCAACCTCTTCTCGGGACATCAACCTTCATCCGTGGACAACGAGAGAACCTGGTTTCGGAGATTTCTGGAGATTGCGACGCCGTCATCGGTCAACGGCAACACAAGCAGACGCGCAAACTTGGTCATCTACACCAAGGTGCTGAGGGTTCACGTCGTATACACACGTTACCACCCCTGTGGCAGTAGCGGGTATCTCTGTGGTGAACTAGCAGCAAGGGTCACGTGCGCGGGAGTCTCGAGCGGCATACGCATCGGGTGTACAAGGAACTACACTGTATCATCAGTGGAGGCGATCAACAACCGGAGTCCTCTATATCAGTAGCAGGAGCGGGATCGGAAACAAGAAAACAACAACCGGAGTCCTCTATATCAGTAGCAGGAACGGGGTGGGGAAGTCTCGGGTACAGGCAGTAGTACCACGAGCAAACTTACTCCTACAGCAGGAAGTACTTTTATCAACACGAAGAAAATAAAGCTGGAACGAGCAATGGATACTGCAGCGAGCAACACAGGAGGTGGAAGCGCGTTCGCCAGCGATAGTTCTACGAACCTGGCAACCGTGATCAAAGGCCTCAAGAAATTCGACGGAAAGGACCCAGCTGAGTTCAAGACATGGATGAAGAAATTCTGCGTGGTGTTAGGTGTGACCAGGAAGGACATCCTGCCACTGCTGAAGAAACAAAGGAAGCCAGATCCCGCAGACACAGCGGCCTTCGACTCCTACACAAGGGCAAACGAAGATCTCTACGCCATTCTTTACCTCCTAGTGGAACTTCCAGCCGCCTTGTCGATACAGAAGCACGAAGACGACACTGGCATCAGCGGCGACGGACAAGCTGCCTTCGAGGAGCTCTGCAACAACTATGACAGGGTAACGGACGAGGTCATCAGGGCCAAGATGGAGGAGCTGGAGAACAACCCCATGAACCCTGGTGAAAATCCCGACGACTACTTCAACCAGAAGTACCTACTTCGCACCCAGCTGGATAAGATGGGAGAAGCCATCTCCGACCGCCGCTTCAAGGACATCTGCGTACGGGGCTTCTCCGACGAATACAAGGACGTCAAACTGATGGTGTTCAGAGACCCAACCTTCAACGTCCTGGACATGCAATCCACCATGCGCAACATCTTCTTGGACGAACAATCGCGCAAGGGATGGAAGGGACGCATAGCTGGTCGAGGATTTGCCACGGCAACGACCGCGTCTGACATCATCTGCCACAGCTGCTACGAGTCGGGGCACATCAGGAGGAACTGCCCCAAGATCTAGAACAGGGCGAAGAAGAAAACGAAGCCCGCCGGAGCTACCAAGTGGTGCTCCAAGCACAACACCACGTCTCACTCGGACGAGGAATGCTACCAGCAAGGAGGAAAGCGCCCGGAAGACACCAAGGACTCAAGTAAAGCATTCACCGCGTGCTCCAACTGCACTCACTGCTCGTCGGCGTCCAACAAGCACGACTCAAACAATGAAGTGGCAGTTGTCGACTTCACCCGGGACGAGGAGGCCTTTGACAGCGGCTTCATGTTCGGCACGTGATCCCGCATCTCAGGACGCAACTTCGCCGCGAGCTCCACCGGGGTAGGCCTGCTGATAGACACGGGAGCATCGGAGCCCATGTTTGACAATCGCCTCATCCCCGACGGAAACCTCCACGATTACACCCAGCGAAACTCTCCAAAGATCGTGGACGTGGCCGGAGAAAGCCAACTCAAAGGCACGGCCACGGGCATCCTACACTGCACCGTCAAGGACAATCGAGGACAGCAATTGCGCGTGCGGATTCAGGGACTCATCGTTCCGGGACTCGGTCGCAACATTTTTTCGCCCACCTTCCTCCTGAAAACGGCGCTACGTCGTCGAAGAGAGCACTCCGCACCTCACTATCCAAGGCAAGGTGATTNGACCTCCTACACTGCACCGTCAAGGACAATCGAGGACAGCAATTGCGCGTGCGGATTCAGGGACTCATCGTTCCGGGACTTGGTCGCAACATTTTTTCGCCCACCTCCCTCCTGAAAAAGGGATTGCGCTGCGTCGTCGAAGAGAGCACTCCGCACCTCACTATCCAAGGCAAGGTGATTCCACTCACACAAGATCCGCGAGACCAAGGCATGTGCACCCTCGACATCACGTTCGAGCAGAACGTCCAGCCATCTGGCACGAAATCCCTCGTGCCCCACCAGAAGCAGTCACAGACCCACACGGCGAACGCCGTCTGCTTTACGCTAGTGAG